TGCTTTTTTTTGCTCTCCATTTGCTTGGTAAATCTTCCTCCATCCCTTTATTTTGAACCTTTGTGTATCCTTGCATGTGAGATGGGTTTCCTGGATACAGCACACAGATGGGTTTTGGCTTTTTATCCAATTTGCCAGTCTGTGTCTTTTGATTGGCTTTGTCACTTTCTTGTGAGTGATCTTGAGCAGGTCATTTACTTTTTTCAAGCTTCAGTTTCCTCATCTATAATACAAGGATACTAGAATCTACATAGTAGGATTATTGAGAATTTATACAATTTATGTGAATCCTGATACATGGGATTTGCTTAGCAAATGATGGGCATCTTTATATTATCTTCAGCATTTTTGTCATTTTAATTAGTCTGATTCTTGGATGGGTTGGACTGGTTGTCATGGGTCTTTGGATTTCAACAGCTGTTTTAGCACTGTTTTATGAAACGATTTCAGAGGAAACTTCGGAGCAGGATTATGTTGCAATAGTTAGGTTGATGAGAGCTACCTGGTGATATAGACTCTCTCTGTAAGAACTTTAAAATCATTTAACATAATTTAAAATGTTATTTAGATAGTGTTATGGTGTGAATGTTTGTATTCCACTAAAATTCAGATGTTGAAAACCTAAACCCTAAGGTTTTTTGAGAACGAAGGGTTTTTTGGGAGGTGATTAGATTGTAGGGGCAGAGTTATCATCTAAGGGATTGATGCCCTTATAAAAGAGGCTCAGGCAGGCACAGTGGCTCACTCCTGTAATCCCAGCATTTCAGGAGGCTGAGACAGGCAGATCACTTGAGGTGAGGAGTTGAGACTAGCCTGGCCAACATGATGAAACCCCGTCTCTACTAAAATACAAAAAAAAAAAATAGCTGGACATGGTGGCTCATGCTTGTAATCCCAGCTAATTGGGAGGCTGAGGCAGGAGAATAACTTGAACCTGGGAGAACCAGGTTGCAGTGAACCGATTTTGCACTAATGCATTCCAGCATGGGCAACAGAGCAAGACTCCCTCTCAAAAAAAAAAAAAAGGTTCAAGAGACACCCCAGTTCCTTCCACCATCTGAGAATTGCAGTAAGAATATGGTCTTCTGGCCAGGTGCGGTGGCTCATGCCTGTAATCCTAGCGCTTTCGGAGGCTGAGGTGGGCATATCACAAGGTTAAGAGATCGAGACCATTCTGGCCAACATGGTAAAACCCCGTCTCTACTAAAAATAAAAAAATTAGCTAGGCATGGTGGCATGCACCTGTAGTCCCAGCTACTCGGGAGGCTGAGGCAGAATTGCTTGAACGCAGGAGGCAGAGGTTTCAGTGAGCCAAGATCGCACCACTGCACTCCAGCCTGGCACCTAGTGACAGACCGAGACTCTGTCTCAAAAAAACAAAACAAAACAAAAGAATATGGTCTTCTATGAACCAGACGTGAGCTCTCACCAGACACCAAATCACTGGCGCCTTGAACTTGGACTTCCCATCCTCCAGAACTGTGATAAATAAATTTCAGTTGTTTATAAGCAGATTGCCACTTAGAATATGATATTCTGTTGTAGTAGCTATTGAGCCCAATAGCTACAACAAAGTTCATTAAAAAAATTTTTTTTTAAGAGACAGGGTCTTGCTCTGTCACCCAAGCTAGAGTGCAGTAGTGCAATCACAGCTCACTGTAACCTCAAACTCCTGGGCTCAGGTGATCCTCCTGAATAGCTAGGACTACAAGCTCATGCTGCTACACCCAGCTAACTTAAATTTTTTGTAGAGATGAGGTCTCCTTATGTTGCTGAAGCTGGTATCAAACTTCTGGGTTAAGCTATCCTCTTGCCTTTTCCTCCCAAAGTTCTGGGATTACGGATGTGGGCCACTGCTCTTGGCTTCAGCAGTGTCTCCATGCTGGTCTTTTAGTCATTTCTAAGATGGGAAAGACTCAGCCTAGACTATTCTCTAAGTCTGTCTTAGCTGTGACAATTTATGATTGTGTGACGTAGCTTGTATAAAACTTTCATTATAAGCATGTATCATTTTTTTTTTCTTTTTTCTTTTTTTTTCCCATTTATTTATTTTAATTGCATTTTAGGTTTTGGGGTACATGTGAAGAACATGCAAAATTGTTGCATGGGAACACACGTGGCAGTGTGATTTGCTGCCTTCCTCCCCATCACCTACATCTGGCATATCTCCCCTTGCTATCTCTCCCCAGCTTCCCACCCCCCACCGTCCCTCCCCTATTT